TCTACCATGTTTCTCACAAAATAAGGCCGGGCCTTATTTTTTTTTGAGTCCTGAAAAAATGGCTAGGATGTCTTTTTGGGGGTGAATTAATTCCCTCCCCCCGTGCACCAGCGCCATCTCCAACAACAGCATCTGAGTCACTCCCGCTTCCCCCCAGTCCCCGTAACAACAGGAAAAAATTTTTTGAGGTACCTGGGTGTGCCGTGCACTGCCTTTTGGTTTAATCCCGAGCAGCTGGGTGGGCGTGAGAAGAGCCAAGTGAACATCTCTGCTGCTGCTACCCTTAGTGCTTCAGCCTCAGGCTCTGCAAGTTTGCAAAAGTCCCGGTGCACAGTCCGTTCCTGCATTTCAAGCACCCAGGCTGAGCTGCAGCTGTCTCTCTCTCACCAGCTCCGTCTCCAACAACAGCGGCAGCAGCGGCGGGAAGTTATGGAGGCGGCTTCCCCACCCGAGAAGCGGCTGAAACACTTCCATGGTTCCTGCCACTGCTGCTGCTGTTGTTGTAGACTGCGCTGGTGAGAGAGGGACAGCTCACCCTGGGTGCTTGGGATGCAGGAATGGGCTGCGCACCAGGTCTTTTGCAAATTTGCAGAGCCCGAGGCTGGAGCATCAGGGGTAGCAGCAGCAGAGACGCTCGCTCGGCTCTTCTCATGCCCATCCAGCCGCTTGGGATTAAACCAAAACGCAGCGCGCGGTGCTCCTAGATACCTCGAAATGTTTTTTTTCCCCTGTTGTTATGGGACGGGGGAAAAGCAGGAGCGACTGAGACGTTGTTGTTGGAGACGATGCTGGCGAGAGAGGCGCCAGCACCAGTGGGAACTGTGGAAGCTACGGAGGCCTGAGAAGCAGCTGAAACGCTGCCAGACATCCATGCCCATGCCGCCTGCCTGCTGACCCAGGTAAGGGAGGGGTAAGGGAGCCCTCCGTGCTCCACCATGATTGATTGTTAGGAGTGGCTGATGGTGAGGCATAGCTGCCTGCGGGGCACTCCTAATGGCAAGTTCCCCCCGCCTTCTCCCTCCAATTTTGCGTGTTTTAAACTAGGCCTAAATTTGGGGGGAGGGGCTTAATTTCATTTTATGCCTAGAAAACATGCTGGGTCTTCCTATTGGAGGGGCGTATTGTTGGAGAAACACAGTATCTGTCTATCATCTATCATCTATCTATCTATCTATCTATCTATCTATCTATCTATCTATCATCTATCTATCTATCTATCTACTCTATCATCTCCATCTCTAACAAATTTGCCCATTAAACTTATCTGCCTCTGCACAGTTTACGATAAAACAGTAAAATGATATGAAAACTATAGTTAAAAACAAGGTAAAAACCAGATTAAAACAAAGCTAAAAGGAACAAATGAAAACTTTAAAAGACAGCAGGAGCATGTTAATCCCAATCCTAACCCCAACCAATCATCCAGCATGGCACTCTTAGTGTGAAAGAGAGTGTATGAAAGCGTTGATGGGTAGGCTAGCTAAGTAAATATTAGTCCTTTTCCATGTCTGAGAAATAAAAAAGCTCAATAGACAGAAGGCCTCAGTGACGGGTTAAAAAAAAAATTCCCTGCCAGCTTTGTTACCGAAACTGCCCAGCAAAACAAGGCTTCTGCCACACCTTGTTACAATGAGAAAGCATTTTTTTGGTCTTAGTTCATCACCGTAATGTAAGTAGTGCTCGACTTACAACCACAATTGAGCCCATTATTTTTGTTGCCAAGCGAGACATTTGTGAAGTGAATTTTGCCCCATTTTATGACCTTTCTTGCTATTATTGTCAAGTGAATCACTGCAGTTGTTAAGTTAGTAACATGGTTTGGTTTCGTGAATCTGGCTTCCCCATTGACTTCGCTTGTCAGGTCGCAAAAGGGGACTACATGACCCCAGGAGACTGCAACCATCATAAAGATGAACCAGTTGCCAAGGGACTTAATTATGATGATGTGTCCACGGGGATGCTGCAACGGTTGCAAGTGTGAAAAACAGTCACAAGTCATTTTTTTCCCCAGTGACATTGTAACTTCGAACGGTCGCTTAAATGAACTGTTGTAAGTCGAGGACTACCTGTAAGATGACCCTTTTAACAGTGCAAATTTGACCCCCTGATCAAACATTTCAAAGGTGACAGACAGATGAGGGGGCTATAGAAATCACAAATCATCAGACTTCTAACATACTGCAATCTTGCATAACCATTCACTTCCCTGTACAGAAAAGGCCAGATGATAACTCTCTTCTCTAAATGGGGCACTGTTCAGTATATAGGATTAAAGGGGAACAGCATGACAGTCTAATTCAATGTTTTTTTTCTGGATGAGAGGACTTTGTAAAGAAAAGAAAAGAAAAACCGGCATCATATTTCATCAGTTGTTTCCTGGAAAAGAGAAACTTTCTCTTTCTCGAAATGAGGAACATTGCAGTTCATTGGTGATTTTTCATCTGTTTAGAGCTGATACTTTTTTAGCGTTTCTGTTAAATGCAGTTTTTAATTCTGCTTTCTTAAAATATTTAAAGCTCTTGCCAAATCAGCAATAGGGAAGGGAAATCCCCACACCGATGCTTCAATGTTACTTTCTTTGCCTGTTAAAATGTCTTCCTTTCAAGCAGCTGAGCTTTCAACCCATATTTAGTTTTGCAGTCAGAGCGAAGGCTGCGGACTAGAAAAATCTATTACAACCTACCTATGTTAATAGAGAAGTGATTCCCCAATCACACCTGGGAATGAACTTTGCCAGAAGGGCGAGTAAAAGGATTTTGAGCCCCCAAGAAGTGTGTGTTATCACAACAGATAGCTGTTGTGTATTTCAGAATACAATGATTATTATTAATTACTTGAGCACTCACAGGGAAATTTTCAGGTATTTTGCATCTTTAGAAAAGGATAGATAGACTCCTTTTTTAAAAGAATAGTTTCCGGTAACCTTGTTTAAATCAAGCAAATATGTTTGCCAAGGACACCGTGTTCGTACAGTCCAGGCCCATGAGGGCAAACTTATGGCATGTGTACCAGAGGTGGCATGCAGAGCCCACTCTGTAGGCACACGCACTATTGCCAGTTGGTATTGTGGTTTCCAGCATGCACATGCGCACCAGCCATGGGTATGTGCGCATTGCAATTTGGGCACTCAGTGCTAAAAAGGTTCACCATCACTGATCTCTAGGCAAAGAACTAGTCATTATAGTGGCTTTTTTAGAGTTATAAATCTAAGTCTAAATCAAGTTACAACTGACAGCATTTATTAGAGAATCAAGAACAGCAGCTCAGAAAGGACCAGACACTTCTTAAAAAAAGTTGCCTAATTAAACATTCATGGGAGTAAAAGTGTTTTTTTGCCTAGACTGCAAGTTGTCACTTGGGCTGTTTCTGAACTAAAATGCACTGCTTCAACCCAAGTCTTTCCTCCCTACCTGTGACGTGTCAGTCAGGCTACCAAGCATGAAAAAAAGTACAGGGTAAAGAAGGAAGCGCCATCAACCATGAGCAGGCTCAGTCCTTGGCCACTGTTGCAAAGGAATGGCAGTGCGGATAGCAAGGGATTGCAGCTATCGGCACACAGAAGTAGTCCATGGGGGGTAGGCAGAATGGGATCACCACTACAACAGGATTAAAAGCGGTAGAGAATGGCCACATGAAGCCTCTTCTTGTCAGAAGCAGGAGAAAACCTGTAATGCATACCGTGGTGACCGAACCAGCAGCACACAACTGGGAAAACCTGTTTTTCTTTCCTACTTTAAGGTGAACTTCTGTGCAGCTTTTTTTTCAATATTGTAAAAAAAGCAGATCTGACACCCTTTCGAAAGACAGCTATGACAGCTATGTATTTAAGGAACCTCCTGCGTAAGGTCTAACCAGGGCTTTAGAAAGTCAGGTATTCCACAGGTAGGTGACTTTGAGGAAACTTGCCCCAGTCAAAATGGCTCTGGGGGACAACTGCCAGAAGACCACAGCTATTGGACAGATCCTATCATAGTTCTGTCGTCAGTCCCCATTGACAAGGAATGTGCTAGATTGTTCTGTTGGCCAAAATTGGATCAAGACAAGAAAAGGGAAACACTGCTTTTATAGAGAACAGCTAAAGTTACTGTAACTTTAAGCTGCCTCATCTGTGAGTCGGAGATGAAATGAGGGCAATGTCATGATGTGTCAGGGCAATTTTCTTGTTTTTAAAAAAATCATCATTACATGTATATCTCTTTTATTATATTTTTATCTCTCTTTCAATAGTGTCAGGGAAATTTTCTGTTATGGTTTAGGGCAGGGGCGTCAAACTCAAGGCCCATGGGCCAGATCCGACTTGCGGGGTGGTTAGATCTGGCCCACAGGGCTGCCCTGGAAACAGTGAAGGACTGGCCTATGGTGCTTTTGCCAGTGAAAATGGAGCTCCGTTATCGCTGACAGTGGGTTGCAGGAGGCCATCACAGCTGAAAACGGAGCTTGGAAGCCCATTTTTACTGGCAGAGCACTTGGGCCACCACAGGCACACCCGATATGAGTAATGTTGAGCTGGCCATGCCCATCCCAGGCCCTGAGGTCAAACACAATCCTGGTGTGGCCCTCAATAAAATGGAGATTGACACCCCTGGTGTCACCCCTGGTGTCAGGGGAACATGAGGATGAGCCTATATCAATAAAAACCTCCCTTTTTACAACCCTGTAATCCCTTAATTCAGGATATCTAATGTGGAGGAATAGCTGGATCCATAAAAAGAAAATCACTTCTGAGAAGAACCTCAGAATAACACGAATTATGGATATTATGTTGTTATTTGATATTTATATATCTCACTGTACAATGTGTCTTTGTGAAAGGAAGAGATCCTTTGAATAGTTTCAAATTTTAAAAAATACTGTTGAAGATCTTTAAATGTCTCTACACGTCATATTTCTAATAATTGATAGTCTTCCATTTCCAGTCAGGAGCAGGAATTTGTTTAGAAATCACACAGAAATCCAAATGGAAATTCCCGATCACTCCTATTTTGGTGTAAATAAGGGGATGAGGCACCTCTGTTTTCCCTTCTACTACTTTGAGTTTCCCTGGTTGCCAGTTGGTTTTCAGGGGTAATTTAAGGTTCTGCTTGTCTTTTATGAAGCCTGTCATGGCTCAAGTGTGGGGATCTGCAGAGTCATCTTCTTCCAGGATTATCTGGCTACTCAGTAAGATCTAGTAGGGAAGTCTTGCTTTGTATTACTTCGTTCAGGGACAGCCACATGCGGGAATCATGCAGGCAAGTCACTGTTCCCCTATTAGGAAACAGCATTCCCCCAAATAACTGAATGCCCCCCCGCCACATCATGATTTTTAGGAAATCTGTCAGACTACGGGATGGGATGATCTACTCCATCAACCAAGAGAAGTTTGTTCTGCTTGATACTGGTTGAATGGATTAGAATCTTTGGCATTGCTGTGCCTCATTATCTTTTATGAATGAAATTACTATTTTATTGTAAAGTTTATTGCTTTTAATCTAATTTATAGCGGTTGCCATGCATGCTCCTCAGAACCTTGAGTGGTTTATAAGGCCAATTTTTTATTTAAAATACTTATACAGCCACCCATCTTATGACAAACTCTGGATTGCTAAACCGGTTAAAGAAACCAAGAAAAATGTATTACTCAGACTCAAAGGAATCTGCCCACATTATTTCCATTTCTGATTAAAAGAAGGCAAAGACCATGACACAGGTTGAACAATCATTGTTCTATGGGGTGAGTAAATCATTTTGTGTCCTCTTAACTGTTAACTCTTAATTTAACTCTTAACGTCCAGATCAAAGATAAAGCTGGAGAGCAAAATGATTGTTTCCAGGTTAGAAAATGGACTCAGACAGAAACTGTTCAGACAGGATCTTTCATTAGCATGTATGCTGACTCACATGAGAATATTTCTAAAAGAAATAAATCCAGAACAGAAACACTGACTGTTCTTAAAGGCTACATAAGATGATAGTATTATCAAGCCATTTTAAATTACTCTTTTCACCAAATCTCTGTGAACAGGAGGTAAAGGATTATCCTCCAGGAGAATTATTCTATTTTTTTTTCTACTTCTGCTTTTGCAATTATATTTCCTAATAACTATTGGATTAGATGCTGCCCTTACAGGTGCATTATGTTAACATGCCTCATTTATTCAAAAAGCATTTAGAAGGGGCAGATTAAATCTTTGGATTTAGGCATTCAGAATCCAATACTATTTTAGAAGCTGCACTTACCTCACTGAAGCAGGAAGCTCATTTCCTCATTCCACGCTTCCATGTCAAAATAGAGTAAAGTTCATTGAATTTAATTGCTAATTAACAGTGCTTAAATTGCAGTTTGAGTTGGTTAAGTACTCCCCCCAAAAGTATGGCTGGCAAGGTCCTTATAAATTAAGCTTCCAGATAAGATCTGGCAGGCTGAGGCCAGGTATCTTTTGGGACCGTTCAGATTTTGAGAAGTGGCACTATTATCTTGCAACAATAAATTCCAATTTAACAGAGAGCGTGTTGGTACATAATTTTTGACTTTTATCCAAACCACAGAGAGTGGCAGAACTTCGGACAATTGTTTTTGTTTATTGTTAACTCTTCATGCTTAACTCTTCATGAAGAAGTTTCTTTTCCCTTCCACTGAAACTGGCACAAAACTGAAAATTCTTGGTGAACGTATGTATACCAGGCCTGAAGAGATGGATGAAATGGCTCTGAGGGTTGATTTCATTTGGCTCATGAACTATTAATTGACCATGGCAAACAATTCCACCAAGAATGCATTGCAATTACTTTATTTTCTGCATGTGTAATTTTCTCCTTGTATGTTTACATTGTGGGTTGAAAGTTATTATTAAACAGACCTAGAGTAGTACAATAAATTACCTTACTATCTACCAGAAACTATGTATTTTCAACAAAGTGCCTACTTTTGCAATAACAAAAGGAAATACGTGTTTGTAGCGATCGGCATTTTTAAAAGTTAACCTTTTTAAGAGTTTGAAGGAACAACTTCAAATTTAAAACAAGCAAAAATATTCTAGACCCAATAACAAATAATATGTAAATATTTTAATCCAGTTCATCAATATACTGTTGCAAAATGTTATCTCTTTCTATAGGAAAACAAAGCTAAATGCAATAAAGCTTTTTGTTGTTTTATGTATAATGTATTTCCATATATAGTAGCATGAATTAGGGCATATTTATAAATTTATCTAGTCTAAGCAATGGTAGCAGACTAAGGCAATAAATGAAGATATGAATCAGCTGTCACCCTGTGAAATGATTGATATGTTTTCCTGAAAATGGCATAGAAACCCCCTAACCTTTGAAAAAGGGCATGCCCACTCACAGCAGTTCAGAATACTAAGTCATCAGAACTAAAATCTAAAGGAAACAGCACAAGAGTAGGGCTCTTTTTCCCCCTCTTACCAAGTCTCTCTCTCTCCCTCCAATGCCAGATACTGACCTCTCTGTGGCTGTTGCAAAGGGAAAAAGAAACTGAGACAACTAAAAGACACTTGTGAAATCATTTTTATTTATATATGTAGAAAATGGGGGTTTCCTGAACAACAACACTTTTTGTCCTTCATGCTAAGTTGACAACAAACTAAAAAGGGGGGCACAAATTACTCAGTTCCAAGCAAATAATTGTCTTTGGTTTTATTTTATTTTTCCACTATAAACCCACACTTTTGCAAAAGAGTTGTAATGAAGTAGAGGTGGTTATGTTTATTCTCCTCATATGTTTTTGATCTTAACAGAGCATATTGCATGTCTAGGACAAATAATTCTTCATAAACCTGAGAATGTTCACCTCATTGTAAAGAATACATACTTCAGGAGTTAAAACACATACACACACATACAAATCAGCTCGATTGTATAGACAGTTTGTGTTCAAGGCTTGAAAATAAAATACTGAAGATATGAATGGGTCGTTGGTGGCCATTGTTCTGATTTGGACAGCCTTCTACTCTTTCGTTTTCTTGGTTACTGTGCCCACCGCTTTTCTCCACATACCTATTTCAACTCACATATATGCCTTGAATTATTCTTTCCTATGCTTCATTAAAAACTCTGAATTTGCTTAGCAAATAAGACGGATAAATTCATTTAAATCCCAAGTGCTCCTATGGAAATCAATGAGAATGCCAGAATCTGGCCAGATTGCATCCCAAACTTTTGGAAATTTTTAAAAAGAATCAAACTATTGGGAATTATTTATGTAAAACATATTCCAACTGTAGAATTGTAATTTGGGGTTATAAAATCTGCAGATACCACCGTAGATCTGTTACATCTGCTTATGGATTTACAGTAAATTGAGTAAGATGCTAACTTGGTTTGTAAGCCAGCAATGGAAGATATGCATGCAAATAAAAATCTCTACTGTTGCAGCTATGGCAGATTAAAGCAATTATTACATACATGCAAGTCCAAATGTTATTGCTGGCCATAAAAGATCAAAACACATGGCTGGGAGATTTGGATTAGAAATTCTGAAGATTGTGGTACATATAAGCAAGATCACTTGATCTCTCAACCTTTCTACATTTTGTTTTGGTGTGTTCCACAAAGACAAGGTTCTCTCCAAGGCTGTGTGATAACCCTAATTTATATATACCATTAATAGTTGGTAAAAATGTAAATATGTTCCTTGTCTTTTAAATTCAAATACCAGAAATATACAAAAATTCTGCTCACAATATGAAACATCTGGAAAGTAAAATGTATACATGACTGCTTGTTGGTTTTTCCTTTAAAAATAGGCAATGGTAATTTTATTTTTAAGATTCATATAACATTCTTTCCATTGCCCAAAATATTATCTACTCTAGTTTAGAAATTATGGATTTCCAATACTCCACTGCATTCCCTGATCAAAGAATATTCTGGCAGCTCTTAATACTCTGGCAAGAATAAATACCATTTTTCTTTTCTAAATATCAGATTATAAAACTGTTCAATATGTTTTGAAATAGTAACTCATGCAAATACCATACTGGGTCAGCTTTGTTATTACAAATACTGCAGCGGCTTAGTGCCATATTAGATCCCTTTTCATAAAAAAGAAAAGAAAAAAAAAGAAATGTTTATACCCCTAGAGCTGACAAACAGCTTCGGAGAAAATAATCTGTACAACCAAATCTCTACGATCCTGTTTTTCCAATTTACACATACAGAAATTATGCACACACATCTCCTATTCCTTTGTTGAGAGTTCGCAATCTACACTTGAACTAAAGATGCTCCATTATTTTTAGTTTTGAAAACACAATTGGAACAGCAAAAATAATCCTTTGGCCCCAATCTTTGTCTCTGACTCCTCTCTCTCTCTACTACCTTCTACAACTTTCATTTTCTGGAAATGCAAAACATTCCTCCTCATGCTGTAATAATACTAAGGTAAGACATTTATATAGTATAAATATAGTTAAAGATATAACTATTTTTCTTTCATATTTTTCTATTTATCAATCTGCTGAATATCAATTATTGCTTTAGTAAAAAATACTCGAAACATTTTCAAACTTCTGATTACCTTTCTACCTCAGTGTGATTGTTCCTTACTGATTTTATTATATATTCCCTCTTTTGGTATCTAATACTTGTAGCCTATTAAGCACAAATGATAATACAAATACACATTGAGGCCAACCTCATAACTGCAAGCATACAAGCCACTAGAATTAAGATATTCTGGTTTGGCATTTCTTTCTATATCTTCTAACTTATCTATAGAATGTGCAGCAATATTAAAGGAATTGTATGAAGCATACTGATTATGAAAAAAAAAAACCCCAACAACTCCAGGATGGCAAGTTTGCAACAACACCCAAGAACACATACAAGAAAAAATAAACCATCTGCCATCTCTCCATACTTTCCAAAGTATTAGTAAAAACAATATATTGCATTTATGGCTAAATATATGGATTGTACATTCACATTTGCAAATTAACAGCCTCTTTAAAAAGAAACAGTTACGTAGTCTCCAAGAGCCTCACCAGATTCTTTCAAAATAGCAAAAATCAAATGTTTTCCCCCACCCCCTCACTATGTTATACCTAGGATATAACAGAATAATAGACCCCTTAGAAATGCCACTTATGTGTTGTAAAACCCAAGCTTGAAGAAAGTTGAAATTGTTCATATCCAGAAGTGCCATCTTGTGGTCAAAAGGTATGTAATCCAGATTCTTCCTATTCCGAATATAAGGGAAGCAGACATTGTGAAGGACCCCATGTTTCACTTCTATTCACTCGGAAATATATTCACCTGAATGATCAATGCTGCACTTTCTTCTAAGTAGAGATGATGACGACTCCATGACTATTGTCTGCTTCTTCAGTTGCTTCAGAGGGGAAAGCATGTCTGCGTTGTGTTTATGCCTGTAATATATATGAACGGATCCTGCTCTCTAGTATGTATTGCAGAGACTTGTATGTTTGTAATAAATACCAGATTAAAATGCTGTAGCCTTTTTAAAAAAATTAAAGCTTTCCCCTCCCCTCTTATTTGGTATCCTGGTCTCTGCAATGAAAAAAAAAAAAAAGTTCTGAGATTTTGCCAGAGAGTCTATTCATTTTCTTCCTGGTTAGCATATATGCCAGCTTCCCACCGCAATGCTAGCGCACTCTTCCGACGATTAACTCTAGTAGCCTCAAGGACCTGGGGAGGGAGAGGAGGAAAAAAAAGAAAACGTCATTTATTTTATTGCCTTCGTCCATTCTGGACAAAACTACAAAGACAGACAATGAAAAGTTATATGCAATTCAGATGTTTCCAATGACATACCTCACCACTTTTTGCATTTTTTCACTCATTGAGAAAAAAAATATATCAGCACAGCTGCAGCCAAAACCAAATGAAATGCTTAACTGAAACAGTGATTGCAAAACATCCAGCTGTGATGCTTAAGTTTAAGCACATCAATGAAAACACCACTACATGCAGAGAAAACATAAAAATAGCTGGTGAAGCATAATCTGAGCGCAAAAGACATGTGGGCAGTACAGTTGCCATGGCCTGTTCAATAGAAAACTATACCCAAAAATCTAACTAATGCAAAGGACTTTTCCCTTTTATTTTGTTCTCTCTGAGCCACTCATCCCAAACCTCATCCCAAGCGCTTATGTAAATCATTTTGCAAAAAAATGCGACAATTGTATTCAACAGCTGCGGAGAAAAACTGAGATTACTATTATACCTGTGTGCGCTTTAGATGAGAGATGGAAATTTCCTAGTGCTGTTAATCTCCACCTTTCTGCTGTGTATCTCAAGCAGAGTTGCACTACAGAAGTGACTTGGGTATTTAGTATATACTTTTGGCACATGTACTGTATCATGAAACACAGAACATCCATTTCTGTATGACTGACATGGATAGGATTCAGAGAGCCACTGCGGGAAGACAGCCACTTAAGTTGCAAGAGAGTTTAAAACAGAATTATTGAAAAAAATGCCAAAGAAATTATTCAATTAATCAAAGGAACAAGTTAGAGCCTCTGAAATATTTGTGTGGGTTTAGGATAAAGTTGAAAAGTTATGATAGGCTGGTGGTACAAAATGACTTGCATCTCACAAGGATTGATAAAATATGTTTCACCAAAGGAAGGCAAGCTCGTTCAGATTTAAACTAAATCCTATGTAGAAATCACAAACAAAAATCATTTTAGATAGGTTAAATATATTCACAGCTATATGAAAACCTAAGGGAATAACTTAGTCACATTGGTGAGTGCACTTGGGGGTGGGTGGATACAATAAGTAAAAAAATAACAACATTAATATTGATACTGAATTCCCAATTAAGGAGGAGGAGGAGTAAAGTATTGCACAGATACATCATAGAAGTGAGTGGGTGAAGCAGAATATTTTGATCACAAATTTCTGGTGAGGAAATTCACTTCCAGGTATAGGATCCCAGCGCTGTCAGTTCAAAAGGCACTGTAACTGTGAGGTCCCTGGCGCTTTCTGAGCTTGATGATTTTCTTGCAGAAGGCACTGATGATGTTATCAAGTTTGGTAATAAAACATCTACAAGAAAACCACTAAGCTCAGAGAGTCCCAAGGACCCCACAGTTCAACTTTAAGTTACCAATATTCTTTTCTATCAGCACTTGTGACTGCACTTCATTATTCCTATTATTTTTTCCTAGAAAAATGAAGGAGGAGGAAAAGAGCGGCAAAACTCTTAAAATGAGGCAAGATGATTTTGCAGCAACACTTTTTTTTTTTCCTGTGAAGGCCTCTAGAATTATGGAACTGGTTACATGAATTCATAGAGAAGTTTCGGCCAGTTCCTCAACTCTCTTTCTTATACCTCGTGTTGTACACTGATTGACTTTGTAATATTGCTGGTAAGACAGTAAATCCTGGAACTAGCTAAAGGAATATCAGCATTGCTAAGCACTTCTATGTAGTCACATATTTGGTCTACACACAACCTTTTTTGCCCTTCTTTAAATTTATTGGGCTGTTTCTTACTTTTTTAATCATTGATACTCTCTTTACACAGAATCAAACAGAGAAACAGTTGGATGAGGATGTCAGCTTATGATCTCCCAAGTAAAAATATACATTTACAAAAGAATTCAGTCACTATTTCCTAGCCCAACCCAGGAAACCTGGGTTGTCGCGATGAGAAAAAAACAAAGAGGACACTAAATATGCTATTTTTTGTTCTCAGGGGAAAGTTGACCTGTAAACCTAGTTTATTATCCTGATATAAAATGGGTTGCTCTTTGGGTGTGTGTGTGTGTGGGGGGGGATTTCCAATCCCCTTTCCCCTAAAATACTTATATAGCAAAGGTTAACAAGAGATTTCAGGCTCTAATTCTGTGTCCCGTTTTCAGGCAGTAAACCCAACTCCAACCTATGGGATTTGTTTTGGGGGTATATATGTACAGTATAAACTACATCATACAGGTGTTCAGTTAGTATGGCAGCTGTTTCCTATGCTATGCCATCCAGCTTATCATGTCTCCAATCTTCTCTGAACCAGCAGCTTTTGCTAGACGTTGAAGCAGAAGAGCACATAGAAATGTGATCAAGAAAATTGCTGGCCAAACACTTCATTGCAATAAACTCTCATAGAAAATCAGTATCCATCTCCATGATATTCTTAGAGATTCCATCCAGTATCACAGAGACAATGAGTCAACATGTATGTTGATAATGATCCATACCTGCTGTTTGAGACCTCTATATTTATTCCTATCTGCACACTCAAAATGTTCCCTTCCACAAAGTGCAACACTTGCTGGCTCCTTCTTGTTGTGTATGTGTGTGTTTTTTAAAATCATTAAAGGTTGTCTGTAATTTTTTTTTAACCTTGGGCTTCCTGCTAATTTTCCTCTATCTCCTAAGCCACAAAACCACACGCAGGTATTTATTTGGCAAAACAAAAATAAAAAACCACACAGGATCCTGGGACGCTGAGGACATATTACATGAAAACATAAGATTTTTTGTTGAAATCAGCCGCCAGGGAAGGAAGATTGAGGAAAAAAAATGCTATAGTGGGCCAATTATGATAATGAATCAATAATGTGATATTTCAGTTGTAGAGTAGAATTGTGTCTTTCAGATGTATTGGGATTGAAATCCCTGAATCCCCATCAGCCTCACTGCTTGGAGATTCAGGAAATTGCCGTTCCGACATACCCAGAGTGATAAATTAGGGAGGTGCCATTAGTTTAACATGATACCTTCACCTCAGCAGGCTTGAAGCCAGGTTTCAGCACTGTTGCCAAGAAGCATAACTCTTTCATAACATAATTAGGTATTATGGGCTGATCATAGGGAAGACATCCATGTTACAAAATCAATCTGTAATTCAAGTCTGGAAAGTGTTTCTATATACAGATAGTCCTCGACTTACAACAGTTTGTTTAAGTGACTGTTCAAAGTTATAGGTACTGAATAAAGTTCACTTATGACCATTTTTCACACTTACAACTGTTACAGCATCCCCACGGTCATGTGATCAAAACTCAGATGCTTGGCAACTGACTCATGTCTATGACGGCTGCAGTATCCCGGGTCATGTGATTCCCTTTTGTGACCTTCTGACAGGCACATTCAATGGGGAAGCCAGATTATCTTAACAACCAGGTTACTAACTTAAGAACTGCAGTGATTCACTTAACAGTCATGGCAAGAAAAGTCATATAATGGGGCAACACTCATGTAATGAATGTCTCATTTAGCAACAGAAATTTTAGGCTCAATTGTGGTCATAAGTCGAGGATTACCTCTCTTTTTGTGCTTCCTTAAGAAGGAACCCTAAAATGGCAGATAGATACCATTTCTCACTGAAGTTTTGTGAAAGGTCTGGTTTTGATTCTTTTCAAATTCCCTTGTATGGGTGGAATATAAACTCGAGAGATTTAATCTTACTTATTTAATCAGCGTATAGATCACTGCAATTATGAATTTAGGACATTTGTAAAATATTGATAATAAAGTTAAAACAACACCAAACAAAGACAAAGCACCCAGATAACAATACAACGGCTGTAAGATGTCAGAGAAGCCACAAAAACCAGTTAGATTTTAGAGGAATGCTGTTCCTGGACAGCAATGGAAAAAGCCATCTCTGAAGTCCCATCAGATGGCACCGTTTTACGGGTTGAAACTGAAGTATATCAGTCCTGCCCAAACTTACCAGGTGGGCAGAAACAATGGGAGAAAGATAACCTGGTGGTTATCCAAGGTGTAAGCCTATGGATTTAGCCGGAACTCCCAAAAGCAGTGTTAGGTGTCATCCAGCTGATAGTCTAGGTGTGGGGAAATTTTGGGAAAAAATGATGGCTTCTAGTTTCAAATATTCCTCCAACAAATAAGCAACGGGAAGCAAACTATAGCAGCATGCAAAAACTGAAAAACTCTCAAAGTCTCATGCAAAAGAAGAAGAAAAAAAATAAATAAGCAAAGTGCTTAACAGGACAAACATTTGAAAAGTACCTCAGAAGTAACCTTGTTAGACAGTAATTTATAGTTGTACTAGCAGAAAGAGAAAAGACTCTCATTAGTGCGCAAAGAACAGAGAAAGAGAATGATGCTTATAATGAACTGAAAATGGGTACCTATCTCTGAATTTCTCATTAAGGCAGTTTACCTGTTAAAAACTTGCTAAGCAAAATAGGCAATTTAAGAACAACAGCATAAGCTGCATGTTACTTGCAACTGTGCCCACTTATATATATAATTCTTCTTTTGCAAATTAAGGATTTCCCAAATCTTATGATCTAAAGACTTTACCGTTTCCCTTAGATAACAAAAATCTTTCCCTTTAACAAATGGAGATATTTCAAATGGATAATACTTTGCTAATAAAAAAGAACTGGTTACTTACCTTTAATTAAAGATCCTGTGAATTTATACATATGAATTTTGTGCCTGCACCAGCCCCCATTTAGAATTTTCTATAGCTTAGACAAATGTTGGCTCTCTCTATGAATCACATATGATTAGCACATACGATCACCGCTCAAGTCCCTCTCCAAGGGAGATGAGCCATTAAGAAATATGAAATATAATACATATAAATAAACCAATCCCTCTCTCATCTCCTTTTCTTTACAATACAGGCAGTCCTTGGTTACAATCACTCATGTAGGTGCGGTTTAAATTTGTGATGGGGGACTTATGACAGCTTCTGGCCTCACAATATCCATGCGAACATGTAGTCATGATCTTGCCATCCAGCTCATGAGTATGAACTTTGCAGCTAGCCATGATCAAGCAACTGCAATTTCTGACATTCCCTGCTGGCTTCCCACAAGCAAAGTCAAAGGGAAAGACGGCAGAGAGTTGGAAGTCACAGTCATGGTTATCGCATAATGACCCATGTGGTCCTCGCTTAAGGACAGCAATAGGGACTGCCAAAATTGCCTTCACTAAGCAGTACATCATGCTTTATGACCATCCCTTAGAGATGGTAATTCTGGTCCCTACTGCTGTCATAACCCAAGGGCTACTTGTGTAGCAAAGTTTTGAGATGTAGCTTGATGACATGAGAAACCAGATGTCAAGTTGTATGAATTCAAAAATGGCTGCCAGAAAAATTAAGAGAGTAGCTAATTTCCTCTTTGCCCTGGACGCTGTGATTTATACATACTGACCAGTTCCTTGCTTATTATGCACAGAAGAGATTGGTATTTGTGGATCGACAGGAGAGAGTCATAATCTCAAAATGGAGGAGTAGATGATCCATAATCTCAGCTGTCATTCAGCAAAGAACAATGGGAAAGCAAGCTCTTGGTGGTGACCTATCGTGGATTTTGCTTCTAAGATCTGCTTCAAATCTTCAGCAGGAGTCAAAGGGCACTTAGCAGTTTAGCTCAGAGAGGCTATAGAGGTATCAATGTGTAATTGTCTAACAGAGGAAGAGAACCCATGATGGCAGGGTTTCTTTTAGAAGGCTTTAGCTACTGATTAGATCATTGTCCTTGTACCAATGATAACAAGGTACTCTAAGGATTATATCAGTAGGAGATGAAGATTCTGAATAGAGTCAGACAATATCATTTCTGGGTTCAAAGGGTTTCTAAACAGAGTAAGGACCTTAGAAAAGCAAAAGGACATAAATAGAGGAGCTGTAGGGGCCTTAGAACTGGGCTTCCTTAGGACTCGGTTCACCCTCATTTACAAACGAGTGATTATAAAAAGGCTGGCAGGAGGAGCATGGCAGTGTAAGGCTCTATCTGTCTATCATGCCCTGGTTACCTCCCAAATGGGTTGCTGTAATACACTCCACATGGGCCTGTCCTTGAAGAGTAGAAGCAGTGGTGCACCAACCGTTAAGCAGACTAAGCGTGAGCTTAGGGCACCAGGCCCAATGGGGGCACCACAAAAACTTTTACGTAGCCTAAGCTTGGCTTCGTTTGTACAGTATCTACTAAGGAGGGGGGCACCAAGATTTGTCAGTGCTTAGGGCATCAGTGAGCCTTAATCTGCCACTGGTCAGAAGCTACAGCTGGTGTCAAATGTGGTGTTGCGAGCTGTGTATGTTACATCTTTGCTCTGCATGCTGCACTGGCTATCGGGGGTGCTTCAAGGTGCAATTCAAGATGTTGGTAATGACCTACGAAGTCCAACATGGCCTGGGATATTTGGGGGCCACCTCTCCTCAAATATATCTACCCATCTAATCAGATTCAGAAGGCAAGGCATCCTTCTGGCGATTAAAGGAATGTCATCTGATAAGACCCAGGAAGGAAGCCTTTTGTGATGGGACGCCCTACCTGTGGAAATGTGAGTACATTTCCTGGGACTCAGATTGACATCGATTCTTCAATCTTCAGGAAAAGCTAATTTGATTGTATTAAAATTAGGTATTTTTCCCCTCAAAAAGCTTTGTGGAAAAACTCATTTCCTGATATATTTCTCATTACTGCTAGCTTGGTAACTCTACAATTTCTGATTGTACCAAATATTGTCCAGCCTTCCTTGATCTCAGTGAAAGAAGTGCTTGCAAGAAAGAGAAAGAGAGAGAGAGAGAGAGAGAGAGACCAAAGTTTTCACAATGCAGCTCAATACATCTACATCTACCCAGTACCCAGCCCCAATCCCTGGGAAACAAAACTCATTTCAGAGCCGATGTTTCTACAAGTATGGATTTCTATCTCTTACTCTCCACTGCCTTTCCCCCATTAATGTCTCCCTCACCATTTCTAGAGAGTTGCTGTAGAAAGGATATTCTGTTGGCCCCTGGTTATTCTGCTCCTAGCAATCTGGACAGTCTCGTATGCAAACCGCAATGCATGCGCCCTTTAAACTAAATTGAGTTTTCCCCCTCTTCAATTTTCCCATTGCTGTTTTTGCTTATTGCGTTTGTGCACCAAATTCTCGGAAGGCAATTAATAAAAGCTTAAGGATTGTTTCCTCCCTGAAGTGTGCATGTAGGAGAAACGGCAAGGGAGAAACGGAATATGCTTACGCTGTTCTCATCCATCCTCTCCCGCCTTTTGGTTTTGTGACTTTCATAGTCTTCCATAAGGGTCTGCATCAGGTTCTTGGCTCTTTGGGATCCTCCAGATTCATCTGATGCGGAGCTGGGATGCAAGGGGGGGCCTTCACCAGTTGGAGATGGAGGTGGTTTGATCTTCTCTATTTTACCTGCAAAGACCCAATCAAAATATCCTTCTCTAGGCAACAGATTTGAAAAGAGAGCCTGAAAACATACGCCTAACTTCCCAAACCAAGGAGCTTAATTTAAGCAGCGTGGGCAGCAGAGGTTATTACGAATGAGAAAGCGTGATGCATCTTAAAAAGGATCATGTTTTTTTAAAAAAATTGTCTACAGATGTTCAAACTGGGGCCAGTAACTAGAGCAGAGGTCTCCAAACTTGGCAACTTTAAGACTTATGGACTTCAACTCCCAGAATTCCTCAGCCAGCATAGCTGGGTTCACTTAACAACCGTGATTCATTTTACAACTGCAGTGATTTGCTTAACAACCATGGCAGAAAAGGCATAAACTCATATAACCGTCTTGCTTAACAGTGGAAATTCTGGTCCCAATTGTGGCCATAAGTTGAGGACTATCTGAGTAGTATTAGATTCAGGGCTGCATTTCTGTTCTCCTTTAAGATGCTTCACTGCTTCCTGATTTTAGTAGACTAAAAGCAAAAGAGCAGAAGGCGCGTGAGAAGAAGTCACTCTATAGTTTGTTACTCTCTCATACATAGTGATTTTTAAAAATGCTATTGGTAAGGTTGTCCATATTAACCATATCCTCTGAGAAACACTGGTGAAGATAAGTCTTCTCAAATTACAATTTGATGCATGTTACACAGAATCAAACCTGGGCAGCATTTGGGGTGAAAGGCCATCAGCAAATTCCAGGGTACAGGCTAGACTGGTAAAAAATAAATCCCACTAAAGGGTAAAGGCAGACTACTTGCACACTGTTGCCAAGAAAACTACTTGTATATGTCCATACAGTCAGCAGTTGTTTGACATCAAAGAAGTCTTTACTTTAAATTCTGAAACAGGGCCAGTAAGGCATTAGCAGTAGAAGTAAATTCAAAAGTTCATCAGCCAAACAATTAACTACACACACAAAAAAATGAACAACTTTTCTAACTAAAATCCTAAACTTCAACAATAACTTCATTTAAATGCACTTTCTCACTATCATCTAATGTGCTTTTGAAGTGATAGTACATAAAAGGCTTGCTTCCTTCAGTTGAAGAGTTTCGTACAAAACAATCTGTCGAAGAGTTTGATCCAACAGTCACAATCGGCACTTTGATTTATACCCCCAAATAGATTAGTAGCCAATGAAGCTGTTGTAACCAAGGAGTCACATTTTTCCATATAAATGGTTCAGGAAATAATAGTAATACCACTTATATACTGCTCCATAGTGCTTTAAAGCACTCTCTGGATCATTTAAAATGTCAGCATATTGCCCCCAACAATCTGGGTCTTCGTTTTATCCACCTTGGAAGGATGGAAGGATGAATCAACCTTGAACCGGCCAGGATCAAACTCCAGACTGTAGGCAGAGTTAGCCTGCAATACTGCATTCTAACTACTGCGCCGCCACCACTGTCACCTGAATTAATATTTGGATCAAGTAATCTGAATGCATTTGTTAGATATAGAGTGCTCCAGTAGGCCAAAACTAAATACCTGTATCTCTACACAGGTTAACTGGAATCTGATCCTCAATGCATCTGATTTCTTCATATTATACCAGCACTATAGAATTTATCTTGAAATTACATTATTTCAAGACTCAAATATATTTCTTTGTTTGATTAAACTGTTAAACATAAAAAATCACCCCAACATATATTTAAATAATAATGGTTTTGGTTAATGCTTAACTCTGAAATACAAGAGAAAAGAAATGTTTTCGATTCCTACTTTCCTAAATGATGTTCTCTTTAATTATCATGAACAGGAAAACACTGAAGTATATTTCTATATCCCCATAAGAACAGCTATGGACAAAAACTGTTTTGTGTTAAAATCATTAAAACAATGTCCTTTCTGTGCATGCAGTATGCAAAAAGACAGGAGATTTCAGTCAAGGAACAAAAATTATGGTACTATTACCACTAGAGGTCAGAGATGTAGCAGAAGCTCTACTTAGAATAAGTAGGTAATTTATTCTGAAAACAAAATATTACTGACATGGCTTTAGCTAATATATTGCTTTTCTGAGCCAAATAGAAAAGTCACATTACCATGATCTAAATCTAAAGTTTTACACTCTATGGATGAAACTTGTTAAAAATTTATTAAAACCTGATATCTGGGCCTGATTTGTATAGCAAAAACTAATCAGGAATCTGGTAGCACATTTTGTGGACAACAATTATAGCCATACCCCTCTGGATTCTATATAGGATGAACAGATTTTATATGAAAGAATTAATGGACATTTGGAATCGAATGCAGGACCAAATTCCAATAATCATGGCTCACTGCAGTTGTTATTTTTTCAGTGTACACTGGAGGAATTTCCCTTCAGAAAATAGTGGGAAGACTGCCTACGGACAGAAGAATGTACTCATTCTAAGAAAGGAGGAGAAAATTATCATCATGCATAGGTAATAGATGACGTAAGCATGAATATTCAAAATTAGCAAGCCTCACGTTATCCCCAGGGCATCTGCTGTTACTATCCTCAAGAAAGAGTTATTGTCTTAATAAAAAAGAAACATATTGGTTGCATTGCCGCAGCAGTTTTAATAAAATGTACTAAGAAAGGAGAGAGTTAAGGTTGCCCCATGCATTCCTTCTATGTTTCTATCTTACCAACATGCTCCCACTCCTCCAACAACTAGTTTTCATCGCAATTCTTCTCCCTTTTGATTTTTTGGTGGAGAAAATCTGTATGTGAAAGGACAGGATTTAGCCTTACACTCTTCTGGAAACAATTACTGAAAAGACCTAATGGCAGCCAGAAGAGCTAGGAAATCTAGATCCAGATTTTGCAACCAATCTGTCCCACGTAGCCATAAAGTAAGCCAATTTCACAGATTGCTGAGGCCTGTTCTGTAGGTCATTTTGCCAGATCCCTTACATCTTGCACAGTGTAGTGCAGGGGTATCAAACTCACATCGTCATGGCGGCGTCACATGATGTATCAGGACTCCCCCCCACCCTCTGCTAAACCGGGCATGGGCGCGGCCAGCACGTGATACATACGGGCTGTGGGCTAGGACTTTGACAGCCCTGGTGTAGTGGTTTTACTTTCAAGGAATTGTCAATTAGGCTAAAACAACACAAACCAGAAAATTCCTCACAGCCATGGGCTATTCTGAATAGCATAAAGTCAATGGCCAACCTGTTTTGCAAGATGGTTGTTTTTAGCTGTTCCTGTTTCCTCATTTAGGAGAATGTTTGATACAGGTAGTCCTTGACTTATGACCACAATTGAGCCCAAAATTTCTGTTGTTAAATGAGACCTTGGTTAAGCGAGTTTTGCTCCCATTTTACAACTTTTCTTGTCACAGTTGTTAAGTGCATCACTTCAGTTGATAAGTTAATAACCTACTTGTTAAGTGAATCTGACTTCCCCATTGACTTCGCCTGTCAGAAGGTCACAAAAGGGGATCATATGACGCCAGGACACAGCAAAGGTCATAAACATGGACCTGTTGACAAGCATCTGGGAGCAAGGTATCTTTAGCTCTTTCCCTCTTAAAAGTGCTTAATGAGATAAGAGTATGTATGTATATGCATACTCATTATACTGTTTCCTTTTATGGAGAGTACAACAAAAAGTAAGAATTAGTATGTCATAGAAATTAAGAAGAGAAGGAAACTTAGCCAAAACAGTATCCAGCATTCCTTTCTATATTCTATTCTTGAAAACCTTGTTTTACTATGTACATATCCATATATGAATTTATACACTGCCTTTTATTCTTTAAACTTCCATCTCTTTCTTTTATTCTCATCAAGTCCATCCAACCATGTCTTTTTCATTTGACTTCTTCCTTTTTACTCACTCATTCTTCCATCATGTTTTAAAAATCAGTTCTCATTCACTCTGTGTTCAACCATCTCAACATACTTCATAATGGTCGTTCACTTTTATATTCAATCATATTCACTCAGCACCTACTTATCTCTTTTTACCCCTCACCTTTAAAGTACTATTTCTCTGCATTCAACTTAACACTGTGATGTTTCTCCTGACATACACATGATTCATTTCCAAATAACAAATAATCACTCTTACCCACAACCATTTTCACTTCTTTTGGCAGTGATTTCTCACAATATATCACATAGTAATGCCTTTCTACTAGTATTTGCAGTCATAACCTTTATCAGTTAATCAGTCAATATTCCACTAAACCAGACAAATATGTTTACTAGCTCTAGTTATATATGTGTGTGTGTCTGTCTGTCTGTCTGTCTATCTATAACTTGTAATTGCATAAGTCCATTTTTATGACCATTTTTCACAGCTACAACCTTTGCAGCATTTCCATGATCAGGTGATCACAATTAAGAGCCTGGCAACTGGTTCATACTTATGACCATTTGTCCCAAGGTCATGTGATACCCTTTTGTAACCTTCTGACATGCCAAGTCAATAGGGAAGCCAGATTCATTGAACAATTAAGTTACTAACTTAACAACTGCAGTGATTCACTTAACAACTGTGGCAAGAAAAGTTGTAAAATGGGGCAAAACTCACTTAACAAATTCCTCACTTAGAGAGAAATTTTGGGCTCAACTGTGGTCGTAAGTTGAGGACTACCTGTACTATAGGCATGCCTGGAGTAAAACCTAGTTTCTGTACTTGCAAAAACGCTGGGTAAAATATGCAAAATCTATAGATTGAATTGAGATGAGAGGTACCAAAATCAATTTTTCAGTGCCGAGGTAATTTTGAACAGTCACTCAACGAACTGTTGTAAGTCGAGGACTACCTGCATTCATACTATTGAAACCACACTCTTTAATTTAGGAATCATTTTCTACATTGTTGCCTGCACTATACCAATCAGGAGGTAATATATGAGACCCATAAATGCATGGGTTGGCTACTCCTGCAAGATTATCAGAACCTGCATTCACATATGGATAAATAGTTGTTTGATAGACATGTGTCCAACAATTGATCACTTAATACCTGAGATCTA